CAAATCGAAATCTTTTAACAAAGTGATTCAGCAAAGGAGGCACTGACTATTCCAAAGAGAGGTGACCCAATGGAATGGGGAAATCACTGGACAATATCACTGATATGCCAAGTGAATCATTTTACTAAAGGTAATCTGAAAATGGCTGCAACCATACATTACAAAGCACTTCCAGAGGTTAAAGCCAGATTCAGAAGAGGATGTGGAACAAGGAATCTCATTGCTGACATCAGATGAATCTTAGCTGAAAGCAGAGAATACCAGAAAGATGTTTACCTGTGCTTTATTGACTAGACAAAGGCTTTCCATTGTATGAATCATCACAAGCTAGAAACAACATTACCAAGTATGAGTATTCCAGAACACTTAATTGTGCTCATGAGGAATCTGTACATAGACCAACAGACAGCTGCTGTTTGAATACAACAGGAAAATATCGCATGGTTTAAAATTAGGAAAGGTGGGCAACAGGGTTGTATTCTTTCACCATACTCATTCATCCCGTATGCTGAGCAAATAATCCGAGAAGCTGGGTTCTGTGAAGAAAAACGTGGCATCAGGATTGGTGGAAGGCTCATTACATTAACTCTGATATGCAGATGATACAACCTTGCTTGCTGTACGTTTTAAGGTCATTAGAAAGACATGAAAGAAGGAAAAGACCAAAACGGATGTCAGAAGAGACACTGCAACTTGCTCTCCAGCACAGAGACGCTAGAGCAAATGGAAGAACTGAGGAAGTACAAGAGCTGGACAGAAAATGTCAAAGGTCAGCTCAACTTAAAATACTTTTAGGACAAAATATTTAGTGATGAAGATCAAAGACCACAGCTTTCAGTATGGGTTGCATCTCAATGTAAAGAAAACAAAAATCCTCACCCCTGGACCAATAAAAAATATCCACATGACTGGAGAAAAGACTGAAGTTATCAAAACTTAATTTTGCTGTAATCAACTATCAACACTCCTGGAAGCAGCAGTGAAGAAATCACACAATGTATTGCATTAGGTAGATGTGCTGCACAAGACCTCTTGGAAATGTTCTAGAGTAACAGTATCAGTTTGAGGACATAGGTGTACTAGACAAAAGGCAAGGTATCTTCAATAACCTCATATGCATGTGAATAAGGAAGAACGTAGAAGAATTGATGCATCTGAGTTACGGTGTTGGAGGAGAATATTGAAAGTACCATGGGCTGCCAAAAGAACCAACGGATCTGCGTTGGAAGAAGTGCAGCCAGAGTGCTCCTTGGAAGCCAGATGGCCAGACTTCGTCTCTCATACTTCTAACATATTATCAGGAGGGACCTGTCACTGGAGAAGAAGATCATGTTTGGTAAAGTCGAGGGTCAGAGAGAAAGAGGGAGACCCCCCAAATAGATGGGTTGGCACTGTGGCGGCAGCAATGGGCTGAGGCGTAGCAGTGATTGTCAGGTTGGCCCAGGATCGGGCAGTGTTTCATTCTGTTGTGCAGAGGGTCGCTATGAGTCAGTGCCGACTCGATGGCACCTAACAACAATCCACCTCTCTTTCTTTCTACTGTGTGTGGGTCTGGGACCACCACTGACACCTGTACACCATGGTGATCCTGCTGGGATGTAAAACCCTGGTAACATGGCTTCCAGAATCTCAGCAGCAACACACCAGCCACCAGAGTAGAACACACTGACAGAGCATTGTTGTTAAGTGCCGTCGAGTCGATTCCGACCCATAGCGACCCTATATAGGGTTTTCAAGGAGCAGCTTGTGAGCTTGAACTACAAACCTTGACAGTTCAAACGACTTTGCAGCCTGACACATTAGCCTAGAACAGAGTTACTGGCCACATCAGACAGCTGTGACAAGAGCAGAAGCTGGCATGGACTGGGCAACGTGCATCCTCACAGAAACCCTGTGCAGTGCTGTTGTTGGGGGAGTTGATCAGGACTCTGAATGAGAAGAGGAAGAGCCATGGGGAACTGCCGAGAGTGCTTTCCCAAGGCTAACTTCCTTACAGAAGCTGACGGTCACAGCTTTCTCCCATGGAGGGCTGATGGATTCGAACCACCAACCTTTTGGTTCATGGCCAAGCACTTACACCTACTGCTGACAGCGACCTAGGAGGACAGAGCAGACTGCCGTGTCTCTGTCCAACAGAGCGGCTGGCGGGGGCAGTCTTTGTATCTGCTAGCGCCCCGGCCCCGAGGCTGCCGAGCCCCGGCACGTACCTGTTCCTGCAGGTCGTAGTCACAGCTGTCATGAAGCAGCAGACTGAGGACGTAGCGAGTGTAGATCATGCCATCGATGCCACACTTCTCGAGCTCCTGCCCCAGCCAGGTCTGCACAGGACCCAGGGCGTGCAGCAGAGACATTTCAGAGACAGACCCGGGGCCTGGGTGCCAGCTGGAGGCGTTTCCGGGGGGCAGACCGTCCACAACGACGCTGAGGAGGGGGCGCATGGGCTCAGGTGGCTGCCAGCCGCACGGCACTCAGCATCTTCTGAGGCTGGGGTTCCAATGGTGTCTGGAGGGGGTCTTCACTCCAGGGGTGCGGGGAGCTGCCTGGCAGCCAGCAGGAGCCGGCACTCAGCATCTAGAGCAGGAAGGGTCTCCTCAGGCAGCGCTGGTGGGCCGGCATCCCGACAGCTCTGCCTACTTGACATGCAGCTCCGAGGACATGTCTGGCAGAACCTGCAGAAGGAGCGAAGAAATGAACACATCATCGATTATCTAAGGTGTGCACACTTACAGATTAAAAAGGGGTCCTGACAACCCCCCTCCAAGACTGAAACTCAAAGGGAGCATATGAGCAAGCATGTAAGCTGCTGACTGCATTGGTCTACTTGTAAGTGCAAGTGGGGGAAAGGCAGCAATGAAGACATGGGCTGAGTAGATGACCTCGTTCCATAGACTCTTGTCCATCCTGAGATGAGAGAGAGATGAGATAGGGCTGGCTGGTATGTAGGAACTCCTGAGTCTATGGACACTGACCTAGCCACGGGGCACTAGAGCTGAGAGTGGAGCTAGTCCCCATTTGACCTATCTTGTCTAGACAGGTCTGGTGAAAGGAGATGGGGATAAGACTCTTATGATTCAGTAGTAAGTAACTGTTATCATGACTAATTGCAGCTATCACAAATGTAAATGTAGAAGTTCTGTAACAAAAGGGGAGTCCAGGAACAGAGGACCCTAGGACCATCAACTGAGAAGAACATGAGCAGAGTGCGGGACCCTATCCAGAGAAGCAGTGATACCAGAGACAAGGACATGGAAAGAGAGAGCAGCTGAGAATTCTAGATTCATGGAAAGAGAAAGGCTTTGTGTTGTAGGGCAGAAGGCTGGCTTGTAAAATGTGTCCTTTGGCTGTTTAAACAAATATATACTTCTATGTGCTTTTTGTACATCAAAAAAAGAGGAAATTGAAGCAAATAATGTCAGCTGATGGTGCATGGAGGGGACTGAAATCATTGCGATTAAACAAAATACAATGGGTTGAGTGCAAAACTGATGTTCTTCCATATAAACAATCCCTCAATTCACAACCAAAGCTTTAAAGACAAAATAACAACAGGTGCTAGTAGTGTGGTACTGTAGGGTAAGCACTGGATGCTAAACACAAAGTCAGCAATCCACACTTCTCAGCTGCTCCCTGGAAGCTCTATCTATATGTGGTCCCTATGACTCATCTGTTCTAAGACGGCGGATCAGGTGGACGTGCAGTAAGGAGCTCCATCAGCAACTACGCAGAATACCAAACCAAGCAGGCTCAGGGGCTGGTCCCAGAACTCTGAACCACATTCAAATGAGATTTAGAAAGTTGGAAGGCTTACAGCTAGGGGAATTTGTAGGAGAATAAAGAAATCCATTGCTTTCTAATTCAAGATGCTCAGCTGCTCCAAGACGCTATCTTGGGAGAGGCCAAGCGGGGGAAGGATTAGAAAAGCCACGGATGCCTGACAGAACTGCGGAGATAAAGGAGTGGACATTCTTTTTTTGATATCTGTTCACTGGTCTCTCACTGTCTGCGCACCTCCATTCTGGTGAATAGAGGGGATGCCTGAATGAATGGACATCCCACCCTCACCCCTGGAGGGTTCTACTACACATGCGCACAGATCGTCTCGAAATTTAAAGTGACAGTTTCCAATTAAAATCAAACGTCCAACACTCGTCTGTCAGTTTGTCACACAGTCGTGGCCTGTGAGTTGCTGTGATTCTGAAAGCTATGCCACTGGTATTTTAAATACCAACAGGGTCACCCATGGTGGATAGGTTTCAAATGAGCTTCCAGACAAAGACAGACTTAGGAAGAAAGAGTGACGAACTACTTCAGAATATTTAAGTCACTGAAAACCTTCTGAATAGGAGAGCAGGACATCCAGCTTCTGAGCGGTTACCTTTGTGTCTTGCTTAACAAGAGAATGGTGAACACTGGGTCCCAGAAGCCTCAGCGGAAATCAAAATGGGTGATGTTGAGAAGGGCAAGAACATTTTTGTTCAGAAGTGTACCCAGTGAGTGCCATACTGTGGAAAGGGGAGACGCGCACAAGACTGAGCCAAATCTGCATGGTTGGTTTGGGTGGAAGACGGGTCAGTCGGGCCCCTGGACTCTCTTACACGGATGCCAACAAGAGCAAAGGCATCACCTGGGGAGAGGACACAATGAGGGAGTATTTGGAGAATTCCAAGAAGTACATCCCTGGAACAAAAATGATCTTCGCTGGCATTTTTTAAGAAGGGAGAAAGGGCAGACTTGATAGCTTATCTCAAGAAATCTACTAAAGAGTAATACTTGGCCATTGCTTTATTTACTACAAATTAGGAATGTCTCGTGACTTTTTTTTTTTACATGTACCATATTTAAATTGACTCATACACCAGAATTCAGATCATGAATGGCTGATAGTTTTTTTTTGGCCAGTCCTAAATTAAATAAAAGCTTGGATGTGGTTAAATGACATTGATCTCGCTGCTTTTCCCTACGATATGATTAGACTTGAGGCTAGAGTGGATTGGTAATGGTCAGTTCTTCACAGTGATGGTGAATGCTATTTCATGACCTATAGGAGGTTGATTTTATATTTAGATTGGTATAACTGATTATATAAATATATTTAAATACTGGAGAAATCTTTTCACTGCCTCAGGGAACAACACGTCTCGCTCTGTTTCAATGTGTATTCATCACTCTGTTCAATTGCAAGGGTGGGAGATAACATAGCAATAGCCACTTTATCTTTTTTGCTTTTAACTGTTAATCTAATTAAAATTCCCTGTATCTAAAATGTTGCCTTTTAATTAACAAGCCTTTTAGAGTGGTTTGTGTATGGTATTAAATAAAGAAATTTCACACTTATCACATTTTATAGATGATCTATAAGGTCAGATACTTTTAAAAGTCAGCTTGATGAGATATAGTAGCAAGCTGAACTTTGCTTTTAAGTTCTTTACTAAGACTACATTGTTACTCAGAAGGTCTTTAAACAGCTATTCAAAAGCACTTAAAACTAATGAATTGTACATGTATGTGATTACTGATGTGC